CGGGCCGGGCCCCGGCGCGGGCAGCGGCGGTGGCTACATAAGCCCAGACTTTCTGAGCGAGGGCAGCTCCAGCTATCATTCCGCCTCGCCCGACGTGGACACGGCGGATGAGCCCGAGGTGGACGTGGAGTCCAACCGCTTCCCCGACGACGAGGGCGCTCCGGATGAGGCTGAGCCCGGAGCGCCCAGCGCGGGAAGTGGTCCAGACAGCGACCAGCCCGTCGGACCCCCGTCTGCCACCTCATCAGGCGTGGACGGTCCCGCAGACTCTCCCGACGGCGGCAGCCCCCGTCCCCGGCGCCGCCTTGGGCCACCCCCTGCCGGCCGGTCCACTTTTGGGGACTTAGCGGCTGATGACACAGTGCGGAGACCCGAGAGGAGCCCGTCCAACGGTGGCTACGAGCTGCGAGAGCCCTGCGGACCCCTTGGAGGCCCCACGCCGGCTAAGGTGAGCCCCGCACCCACCCTGCCGGGCCCACCCCTCGTGTCCCTCTGGCCCCAGGCTGCGGGGCCGGATGGAGGACGGGCACGGTGTTCCGCGCAAGCCTCGGAGCCAGCCTCGGGCACGCGGCAGAGCTGGGCTCCCTGGGAGCCTTGGCTGAGAGTTTCGGAAGACCGAGGGGCAGGCCTAGGCCGTGCGTGCTTTGTTTTTGTGGATGGGAGTTGGGAGGAGACCGCCAGAGACTCCCAGACAGAAAGAAGGTCAAAGAGGTTGGGAAGAAAAGGGGGAAGGAGCCAGGAAAGCGATGAGGAGGCTGCGGAGTGGGCATCAGGGCCCGAGAAGGGAGGGGGCAGGGGCGGAGGGGCCGAGGGCACAGGACAGCCTCTCCGCAGTCGCGCCCAGCAACGCTGTCCCGGAGCCTCCCGCGGTTTCCTGAATCTCTCAGAAGCCCTCGGGTACCTGAGCTCATCGCCGGGACGCTGTCTCCGGCCGGCGCGCTGGGCTGGGGTGTCCCTCAAGCCAGCAGGGCTGGGGTAGAGGTGCCGGGCTCTGCCAGGTCGGGGTGGTTGGCAGTTTTAAAGCGTGTTCACACACCTGCACATTCCCATTCTGTTCATTAAAACACGTATCGCTCCCCGGATGCGGAAGGCGTCATCCTTGCTGGGACGGTGCACGGGTGGGGGTGGGGGGATGCCGAGAAGGGGG